TGTAAACAAAGTAGTATTTTGACTTTCATACAAAATACTTATTCACTATCATTATACCAATTACCAAAATAGTTAAAGATGCTTAAGAAATAAGCAGCAAATGAGTATGTTTTAGAAAACTGTAACAAGAGACCAAAAATAAATAGTTTTTAAAATATAAAAATGAAAGCATTTTTGAGGCATAATGGGCCTTTATTTTTTTTAATAATTTTGCTTGCACTTATTTTTAAGAGTTTAAAGTGTCATGTCAGTTTGTACAGATGTGTAGGCGAATCTGACTTTATACCGGTGGCATGACCAACTTAGGCCATCAAGAGCAATGCAAACACAATATAAAAAGTAAAAAAAAGCAGAATCGGTTTAATTGAGTCGGTTTATGAGAAATAATGTAAGGTGCAGAATAACGCACCCAGCACCTGTTAAAGCAGTATTTAATATGTTTTTGTTGTCAATGACTCAAAAGGACAAGACAAATATAGCAACACTACGATGCAATAAAGGTCAATTGATCAACTGCATTCAAAAAGTTAAATAACACGACGTGTATTATCACAAATTTCACTTAATTAAATTTTACACAGTTATTCCCATGCTTTGTCTCATAACTGATTAAAGTTGCACATTAGATGTTACCAGTAATGGTAACAGTCAGAGTTTGATTCATATCACAAAGTTACAATATGACAATAAAACCGTTTTACGATCATTTTGCAAACACTAAATGTTTTGCTACAAATTGTCTAGCTGCCTAGCATGCATAGATTGCATAGTAACATGGCTTGCACAAAATTCATGAGGATTTAGTGTTTTATGATAAATAGTGTTTTTTTATTTACTCGCGCGTTATCATCGTATGATTAGACAGCTCTTTATAAACACATAAAGAAAATGTTATTCCATATAAAGCATTTATTTATTTTAACTAAACAAGTCAATCAATAACAAAATTGTGGTAAGGTATCACATGATATGTTAAGCAAAACTAACAAAAACAACGCATGATTTAAGTCATGACCAGAATATCATGACTAATACAATATCAAACATAAATAAATAGTGACGTAATGAGTGCTTACAAATGTTGCAACAATGTTTAAAATAAAAGAGAAAAAACAAACAAAATATAACCTATTGCACATACTAAACCAAATTGTTTCACTGTTAAGTTGTACTTGAATGTGTTACTATGTATGATATATAAATAAAAGGCGCTCATAAACTGTACTACAATGCCCTTGTTCATAACTAAAAAAGCAGTTGCGAATGTTTATGGCGCGGTATAGAAGAAGTTTTTTCTGAGCATGATATAATTCATATAAAGAACTTTGTATGTTAAGAATTTCATGATTATGAGTCATATTATTTGACGAATGGTAAGTGGCACTTTGTTTCAACCTGACTAAAATTCAGATAATTTGTAGCGTTATTTAGGATTTTAATTAGATTGCTTAGCGTTATTTAGGGCTGATTTCAATTAGATTTCACCGTGTTTAAATATACATGTTCCGTAAACAATATTTGGACGGATAAAATGTTCACTGCACATTTTCAACAACAATGACATTGAGTGATAAAAGTGTTTTTTTTTTTTAAAAAAACAGAACTGTGACATTTGCTTTATCTGTTCGAAGTCTTACACAGTCAGCGATTTGCTAATCAAATATATATTTTGTTGAATCCAGTAAGCAATGCCGAACATGAATATGTTTCACAACCAAATTCACAGCTGTAAAACACCATGGCAACGGATAACTACCAGTAACCGCCAGAACTGTCATGAGTTTCTTTCGGTACAAATTTTTACCTAGATCCGAACGGAGAACAGAATAGCAACAACGACCACGTGGCTATATCAAAAGTTCTCTCATCAGTTACACTCTGAAACAGTAGTGTAGTGTGGATGGGCGTCTATTCCCGTACTGATGTGGAACCTCCGTATACAACCATCCATTTGTCCGTCCTTGTCCTGTGTTAAGAAAACATTGAAAGTACATTAATTAAACCTCGAAAGGTAATAACAAAACACAAAATAAAAAAATCGTGAATACGTTTATATTCAAGTCTCATCATTAAAAAAGTACTAAGAATATACCATTTTTGCAAAACAACTTTTAATCAATTATATTACTAACACATTTGATGGAGGTATATTATACTTAACCGTAGCTCATACACAAAGGGCAACCTATTGCAACGAAAATAACCATTGCAACTTACTGGTCAGTTACCATTTACGCGACTCGAACTCTCTTATAAGATTACAATTGAATGTTTACACCAGAAATACTTTAATACTTTACACATAGATGTAAAATGTTTGGGCGCATCTAAACTAACTTGCAGACAAGAATAATTTCGATAGCTTCAAAAATATAAGATTTATATCTATGTATAAGGAAATTTTGATCATCATAAAAAGTCATTGAGTGATCATTTATAGAGAAACGTTTAAAACACTTAACGACATGCGCATACGGATATGTTTGGCATATAAATCACCTTGAAGCATATGTTGTTTCTAGCAATAAATTAATTTTCAGTTTTCACTACATTCAACGGTTTTCAGGAAAATTAACTTGTCTTAAGAATAGAAATAGTCCGTATTTATCTGAGAAGCTATGAAACAGCCATATAAGTGTTAGTATTTAAGAAGAACTTGTTTTTCACAAATGTGTTTATCCATTAAATAAACATATCATTATCAAATTAAATATTTAAAAAGTCAGAAAAAACTTACTTATACCCCAATCTTCCTTAAATTATTTTAATTTGCGGTAAACTCATACATAAAGTATTTCATACGCTAGCCACAATGTTCACATGTAAACACTAAATGCTTCCTGTTTCTTAACTACTTAAAGGAATAGGAATGGATGGATTGATGTCTGTCTAATATAAATATTCATCATTAAAAAAGAGGAACCATGACAGTTTTCCTATTGACATCAACCCTATAAGAGAGAAATTCGTGTTTTAAGACACTATTTTTTACTTGAGAAATAAGTTCATGGGCGCCGCCATTTTGGCGTTCTGTCGTTCTCGCGAGACAGACGAGACCGAGATTGTGACGTGTAATACCCACTTCCGGTATAGGTGTATACGCTGGTACAACTGAAATATATCTTGATGAAGAACTTATTAATTTTATTGCGTACATTATATATTATTTATGAAAACATCATATGGAACTGAATTGCTTTAATTAATTGACGCCGCGACATTAATTATTATTTTTCCGATATTCAAGCTTGCTGATGATCCCACCACATGATTTAAGCAATGACTGCTTAATTTTCAAAGATAAACCATAAATTTAATTTGGGTACTATGAGAAACTTCTTCAAATTGACGATATATCCTTTTATTTTGTACTTAATTTTCGCTAGACAAGCTGTCCAAATAGGGTACATCGCCGGTCATGTATCTTTTTTTCAGGTAAAATATCAACTAAATCCAATATATATCTACTTACCAAATTCCTTTCCCCGACAGATACGCATTTCTACTACCGTAAATTTAATCCAATAAAACAAAAAAATCATAAATCTACTTAATATTTAAAATGATTATTGGTAACTGAAAAAAATGTGTTGCTATTTTATGACGTGCTGTAATTTACTACAGTATAATTTGACAGGTGTGGAACCTAATTCCCCCTAAGATCATTCAGTTCACTGATGAAGCGTAAAAAAATTGTGTGAATAAATTATGCAAATAAGACTTTTGAGCAGCCAATAAAAATGATTTGCCTGCAGTTAATATTAGGCTACGATTACGATGCGCAGCATCATACGTTGACAGACATGTTAACAATTTACTTTTCAAAAGAGTTGCTTATATTTTTGAAATGTGTACATCAATTATAACATATGTTCACACCTTTAAATTTGAAAGTCAGAATCAAACTGCAAAAATTTAATTATATGTACTATTAAGAACACGTTTTAGTAGGGTTTTTATAATGGAAGTGGCTAGCGTACGGGCCCGTACGGCTAGCCAAAAGTTTTAGCCGTACGTGAGTCACGTACGACTAGCAAGGACACGCTGTATTGGCTAGCCGTACGGCACTTTTCAAAATTTTATGGAAGTCGAAAATGCATATGTTATTTTATGACTTTAAGCGAGGATTTTAACCAAGAAACAGCATTAATTGTCTTTGGATGTTAACTTTTTAGAGATTAATCGCCTTGATCGCTATATATATCGATCTTTGTCAACGCAAGATGTCGAGAAAAAAAAATAGCCTTTGCTTGCATTTACACCAATTGAAATAGTTTACAAATTTTGATAATAATCCTTTTTTGTTTCATTAAGTTTAATTTTCGACACCTTTTATATGAAAAAAAAACAACAAACACTGAAAATGATTGTTGTTAGGCTCTTGATAATTGCGACAATTACCGACTGTACTGTATAGAAGTTTGTCCATCAAGGAAAGTTTGCATGTTCCGTGAAAGGCATTCTAAAATTCTATTGTCAGTCCCTGGATAGGTTTTAATTAAGGCTGATTAATTGATTGACTGTGCTTTTATGTTCGATATTTATCTACTGTTTTGAAAATTATATAATTATTTTTGCATTTCACCGTTTTTTTTTGTTTTTTTCATTCAATGTTCTTTTTATTTATTTATTCCACTCCGATCATTTTTTATTCGATCCATGTGCTTAAAATTAACAAAAATGATTTAATAATTCATACAAATAAAACAACAAATGATAAGCATGAAAATCAACAATTTTATAACGTTCGACTTCCATATAATTTTGAAAAGTGCCGTACGGCTAGACAATACGTACAGTGCGTCCTGGCTAGTCGTTCGTGACTCACGTACGGCTAGAACTTTTGGCTAGCCGTACGTTTCTTTATTTTTTTTTTATTTATTTTTTTTTGATATTGTTACGTATTTTGAACCATAAAAAATCTCCTCTACACCTCCTGTGAAAATTAAAATATCATGACTAATACAATATCAAACATAGATGATTCATGACGTAATGAGTGTTTACAAATGATGCAATGTTTGAAAAAAAGAGAATAAAAACACTCATAAAATATAACCTATTGCACATTATAAACCAAATTGTTTCACTTTAAAGTTGTACTTGAATTTGTAACTATGTATGCTATATAAATAAACGTCCCTCATAAGCTGTACGACAATGCCCTTGTTCATAACTAAAAAAGTTGCGAATGTTTATGGTGCGAATAGAAGAAGTTTTTTCTGAGCATGAAATAATTCATATACAGAACTTTGTATGTAAAGAATTTCACGATTATGAGTCATATTATTTGATGAATGGTAAGTGGCACAGTGTTTCAACCTGACTAAAGTTCCGATAATGTGTAGCGTTATTAAGGATTTTAATCAGATTGCTTAAATTAGCGTTATTTAGGGCTGATTTCAATTATATTTCACCGTTTTTAAATGTACATGTTACGTAAACAATATTTGGACGGATAAAATGTTCACTGCACATTTGCAACAACATAAACATTGAGTAATAAAAGTATTTTTTAAAGAAACAGTACTGTGACATTTGCTTCATCTGTTGAAAGTCTTACACAGTCAACGATTTGCTAATCAAATATATATTTTGTTTTGAATCTAGTAAGCAATGCCGAACATGCTGTAAAACACCATGGCAACGGATAACTACTGGTAACCGCCGGAACTGTCAAGAGTTTCTTTCGGTTTAAATTTATACCTAGATCCCAACGGAGAACAGAATAGCAACAACGACCACGCGGCTAAGATTCCCTCTTCAGTTGCACTCGGACACAGTAGTGTAGTGTGGATGGGCGTCTATTCCCGTACTGATGTGAAACCTCCGTATACAACCATCCATCTGTCCGTCCTTGTCCTGTTTTAAGAACAAATTGAAAGTACATTAATTAAACCTCGAAAGGTAATAAGAAAACACAAAATAAAAAATCAAGACGTTTACATTCAAGTCTCATCGTTAAAAAAGTATTTAAAATATACCATTTTTGCAAACAACTTTTTCTTCAATTAAATTACTAACACATTTGATGGAGGTATTTTATTCTTAACCGTAGCTCATATACAAAGGGCAACCTATTGCAATGAAAAGAACCATTGTAATTTGCTGGTCATTTACCATTTACGCAATTAAAATACACATATGTTTAAACCAGAAATACTTTGATCATAGTTGTAAACGTTAGGACGCATCTAAACTAACTTGCAGACCAGATTCTATTTCGATAGCTTCAAAAATATAAGATTTATATCTATGTATAAGGAAATGTTGATCATCATAAATAGTCATTGAGTGATCCTTTATAGAGAAACGTTTAAAACACTTAACGACATGCGCATTTGGCATATAAATCACTTTGAAGCATATGTTGTTTCTAACAACAAATTAATTTTCACTTCATTCAACGGTTTTCTGGAAATTGAACTTGTCTTAAGAATAGAAAAAAGACATCTTTAATAATTCAGTCCGTATTTATCTGAGAAGCTATGAAACAACCATATAGGAGTTAGCATTTAAGATAACTTGTTTTTCACAAATGTATATACCCATTAAATAAACATATCATTATCAAATTAAATATTTAAATAGTATGGTGGCATATTTCTGCCACCAGATAACCTGATACCTAACTAGTTAATCAAGAGGTTAACTAGTTACGTAACTAGTTAACCTGATACCTAACTAGTTAATTAAGAGGTTAACTAGTTACGTAACTAGTTAACCTGATACCTTACTAGTTAATTAAGAGGTTAACTAGTTACGTAACTAGTTAACGTGATAACTAACTAGTTCATTAAGAGGTTAACTAGTTACGTAACTAGTTAACCTGATACCTAACTAGTTAATTAAGAGGTTAACTAGTTACGTAACTAGTTAACCTGATAACTAACTAGTTAATTAAGAGGTTAACTAGTTACGTAACTAGTTAACCTGATACATAACTAGTTAATTAAGAGGTTAACTAGTTACGTAACTAGTTACCCTGATAACTAACTACTTAATTAAGAGGTTAACTAGTTACGTAACTAGTTAACCTCTTAATTAACTAGTTAGTTATATGGTTATCTGGTGGCAGAAATATGCCACCATAAAATAGTTAGAAAAAACTTACTTATACACCACGCTCTGTTGTATTCGATATTAAATAGTAATGTAAGATCAAAATATTTAGGACCGTGTTTGAGTAAATAGTTTGAGATAATTTGCAAATTATATTTAACTGCACAGAAAGGTTTTTAATAAACGGTTTACTTTTTGGCGTTATAGAACACAACACTGATTAACTTATTACGGACTCGAAATTAGAGAATAAACAAGAACTATCTTTACAAAAAGATACTCGACCGAAGTAAACCTGGTTAACTTGTATATGTTACTTCTTAGTTTTAGATGCATATTTATTTGACAAAATAAACAAAGGGGTATATTTTATAGTATAGCTGTCCTTTATATTTAAATTTATATTGGCAAGAACAATCCTTTACATTTTATTTTAGAATAGCCAATGAGATTCCCAGATTTAAATTTGTAATTCAAAATGACCAATGAAAATTCTTCTTATATTCAGTTCTTCCCTGTTAATTTTGCAGGAAGTCTAACTGATTTCAGATGGTCTTCGGCAAAAAATGAGAATATAAAACAATGTGTATTTTATGCGAGTATAAATACATCTTAATTTCCATTCGACATTCTTCCTGAATAATATGTTAGATTTTGTTTGCAATCTACCTTAAATTGTTCTAATTTGCGGTAAACTCAGATATAAAGTATTTCATACACTCGCTACAAAGTTCACATGTAAACATTAAATGCTTCCTGTTTCTATATTGCTTTACGACTGGTATTTATACACTAAGGAAGTACCGCAGATGGCAACAGTTTTAATGTAAAATGCTATTATTATTTCAATAAATATGAACGAAAAAATAAATTGTGCAAAAAAAACTTTACGTTTAAATTTAAGATAAGCTAATTTGCTTCTTTGGATTGTCTACACACTCACAGTACAGCCCAGATAGAATACGAAAGTGCATCCCCAAATTGACTACGACTTTTATAATTTAATGCTTTATTTGATTAAGTACAATATAGTCACTTCACACAAATTCAGTAAATAAATGCTTAACATGGATTCATGGATGTTTTAAAAGAGTAAGTTCATAGTTTCTCATGCAAGCAAAGTATTTTGAAAACGAATGAGAATCGCCAACAAATTGATAATTGCTCGAGAAATACTTTACGTTTATTTGAATTCGCGGGAAGCAAATTTTTGAGGAAAGGTCCATTTTGAGGGTCTATACAAATATTCGCGCTATTTTGAATTCACAGAGGTGACTGCCGAAAATCATAAATTGGCGTAGACCGCTCAGGTTTAAAAAATAATGGAAATGACTCTTAGAAAATAAGGCACTATCTTCGCAAGAAGTCTTCATTCATTTTACATAATTTTAATTGTAATCATCGTAGGGTCCACAGTTATTTTCAATACCTTTTTCTAACAATACGCTAATGTACAGAACAAAGACATTGTCTAGCGGACAGATTATGGCAAACAAAAGAATGCTCGTTGACGTGCATGATTTTTACATTACACAAAGTTTTACACTGCACTGAATGAGACCATCATTTTTTCACCGATTTCATAAAAAAGTTTTATTGAGTAATTTATTTTGTTTTCCATTTTTTTCATCAGTTAAAATCGTTTATGTTCGTGTTGTTTGTATTGTTTGTTTAGAAAAACAAATATGATCGGAGCAGATGTCAAGATGTTTATGGCGCAAACTATGAAACAATTAGCTTGATGCAATGGTACATTTAAAAAACTGATAATTATGCCAGCAAACTGATTAATGTACAGAGTTAAATTTTATACAGCTCCTTCAAAGCTTCACGGATGCCAGACATACCCCAGCATTGAACAAACTGATATACTTTGTTATTGAGAAGCGCGAAAATACCACTATGGTGTAGAAATATTTGCGATAAACATTTCTTCGCGGATCGAATGTCACCGCGAAGATCGCGAAAATTTGAAGCCCGCGAACTTTTCTACATATACAGTATTGTACAAAAACAACAGAATTTATCATTTTTTTAATAGAACTGCGCATGCGTGTATTACATAAGCGTGAATAAAGTAGTTCAAATTATCTGACGAATTTTATGGCTCTAATGCGTGCAGACGATTTGATGTATCGGAAACAATGAGTTGATGACATTTGTACCAGGCAGACTCCCCTTTCAAGTCTCTCTCTCCCAGAGAGCCAGTATTTTTCAAAGTTCAAAGCACGATGGTTTCAAGGTTTGAAGAAAAAAAATACAATTAAGAAAATGTGTGTCAACTAAGTAATGTAGTTAAATGAAAATTTATGATTAATCAATAATACTACACTGTTGTTGTTTACTTTGTGTATACTTGGAATTTATTATTTCAGGTCAATGCAATATTAACCACAACAAAGAATATTTCAAGTACAGTGAAGGTAAATTACGATTTGACATTTTCCGCCGTCAGCACAAAAGAACACAAAGAAGAATTTTAATCGATGAATTATTTCTTGTGATAAAATTCAGAACATTGCATCATTTAGAAAGATTATTACTCAGCCATACCGGTCATTCTTTGTTACCGTCTCGAGTATAATTAAAGAAGAAAAGTATGCTAGGAACATGCCTTTTGCCTAAATTTGATATTATATTGAGGAGGTGTTTGCAGCAGACGATAAAGCAGTTGGTAATAATAACAAAAATAAAACGAATTGGTACACGGAAAAATCTAGCCGGAATGCCAATCCTAAAACAACAAAAACAAAAACCATTACCGTCTCGTACCTGTAATTCTTTTACACTTTTAGATTGATGGTGCGCCGGATTTCTGTTGCCAAAATTGATTGACGTAAAGCCTCCGCAACTGACGTAATACTGGTCGAAGTACTCTAATTCATCTACGAGAAATATACCTTTTCCGTGCCGTCTGATGAATCGCACCTGGAAATAAATAATGAATAAATAAATAAGTATGAGTGACAAAGATTTTAGACCGAGATAAAATAATAATTGAAGAAAGAACAGGTACCCTATTGTTCAAAAAATAATCACAGCTGGAGATGATACTTTGTGCATATGTACATCTTATTGGAACATATAATTCAGACAATTGTTGAAGTGAATAAATGAAAGAGGAAAAATATTACAATAATAAGTACAATTACAATGTTTCGTTAATTCAAAAATCATGAAATTTCCATATAGTTTTAAAAAGAAAGATAAAATCAAACAATGTAATGGTGTAATCATAAAACCAAGTACTTATAATATACCAATTAATATGGTATGAATAAGACAAAATGTAAAGCGTTTGAAATTCCGGAGCGTGTGTCTTATTAAACTTACCCTATGCCATTCTCCGTCATCAACTCGAACTGGAATCGTAAAGTCAGCGAAAGAACTCATGCATCTGATCTTGAACTGTGGGTAACCTTCATGCAGACTACCGGAAATCATGTCTTGAAGGTCGTTTCGCCTGACTGCATAAAACAACGTGCCGTTACCGGAAGTGGTCTTGAATTCAAATCTCAGTGAATGCCTGAAATATTGATAATGAAGCTTTATTCTTTTGCTCACATTCATCTTAGGAGGGATAGGGATGTAAATGGTCACTGACGTATTGATGTTAATTTTAAAAAGCTGGGATGCACGTAAACATGTACTAGTATAACCTTACGTTTAAAAAACATTTTACGAAGTTCACTTGGTGTAATTTGCCATTTGCTGTTCATAAACACCTTCGCAAATTTTCAATAACTGCATTCAAAACAAAAATGACATAATTAAACTATAGACGCAAATTTAAAACTATCGGAAATCGGTTCATGATTTTTTTGGCGCCAATTTTAATGTATATTGTTTAGACGTTCATAAAATTATGTTTTAATAGCTATAAATCGTTTGAAATAAAATGAAATATTGCACAGATTTGTGTCAGATTTGATTCTGAACGTTGACAGGAAAATTGTTTCTCTTTATTGGGGTTAAATACTGAAAAAATATAAATTGCGGTTTACTTTGTGAACAAGAAAAAGATAAAGCGCGCGCCAAACAGAAGGTATCATGTAGCATTAGGGACAAATTGCCCAATCAATGTTAATATGGATGGGGTGAAAAAAGGGTAGTAGTTTAAACATTAAGAATACCCTTGCAGTGTTTTTTAACTTCAAAAGATCACTGTGTAACGGAGTAATCAATTTGATTATGTCTTTAAATATCTTTAACCCTATGATACAGACAATTTATAGATAAGAATGTATAAGCACATTGAAAGTAAAACTTCGACCACAAATTTAATTACGTAACGTGTTTTGTTACAAACTGATTATATCACTACAATAGTACTAAAATTAAAACAATTATCAATTTAATACAGGACCAAAAATCAAATCACGTGGTTAAAAGATGTTTGCTAATCTACTTTGGTTGGTTATTCGTTATTTTGTTGCCTACAAATCTGTATTTGTCTATTGATAAACATATGATACTTTAATGGCAAAGAAAAGATAGACTGTATAGCTACTTTAAGAATGATTTATTCAACCGTTTGGCGGGATAGGAAAGGCGAATGTCATTGAAATTCGACGCGCGTCTCCTTGACATTGACCTCCAAGGAACTTTACTTTAGAAAAGGTCAATGAGTTTAAAAAACTTCAAATTTCACTTACCGGTCCTCGAAGGGTTCTGAGAGTGAGTCTATATATACATTGCTTTGATCAAATGGCTCGATTTTGACACCATAGCTGGTCTGTATATCGATCTTCGAAGACTGAAAAAAACAAAAAAAAAAAACAAAACTTAATTCTACGTCTGCCCCCTTTCGTTTTAATTTCCCAATGCTTTTAAGATTTTTTTTTTAATGTTTTTTATCTTTTTAAATCTTGCTTTTGGTTAAAAAAACCATTAGTACCCTGTACATTTTTCTTTGCCGGGTCATTCATTTCTTTTAAAAGGTTTTTTCTTTGCCCATTTATTTTCTTTTATGTGAAAAAGGAAAATAGAAAAAAAAAATAGAGTACCCCCAATAATTAGTGTCTTGTTTGAAGTCCATCCGCCCCGTACAAATTTTCGTGTCCGCATTTTTTTCCGAGAAAACGAAATACGGAAATGTCAAAAAAATTTTTTTAAGGGAATATTCCATTGAAAATGCAACCCCAAAGGGACCGCATACATTTGCGTGTCCATGTCGGACCATTCAACTTGAATCTATCACAGCTGATTGGTTATGCAGTAAGTATTTAGTAAAATTCGTTTCCGCGCTATTTTTCTGCAAGGACATGATTTCAATGGACATTTGTAAGAACATTCAATAGCAACAGAAGATGCGAAATAGCGCATATCATTTGCATATTCCGGTCGAACCATTCAACTCAAGTTTTATGGCCTTTGATTGGTTATGTAGTATGTTTACAGAAAAAAAATCATTTCCGCGCTATTTCTTAGCAACTGCTGACTGGCTTTTAATTAACTTTAAATCAAAAGAAGATGCGCATATTATTGACAGTTTCAAACAGATATTTTAACTTACAGTTATTGACCCTGAATAGAAGGTCAAATTGTTGTACTTTGATTGAATTTGTATTTTAGCTATTATTTTGTTATTAACAATTATTGTCTTCATACTTGGACATTACAAACACTTTGAACAACACCTCCAAGGTGTTTAAATTGAGTCTGATATTTTCCCTTTAAATCACATTTACCTTAAAGTACACCTTGCTAAATTTGCCATAACTTTGTAATAAATACTTAATTAATAGACATACTAGGACAAAAAATCACTTAATGGAAAACATTTGAAGATATAAATTCAACGAATTGCTTGTTTTAGATTTACATTGCACTGAATGCGTGTATCATAAACTAAAACCTGTGCTCAGTTGTTAAAACAGTGCGCAATAAAATAAACTAAATTAAAGGAAAAAATAAAATTGTTTTTAGACGTTTATACATGTAATTAATAAAGAAACTGTCATCATATTGCCCTGACCTGTCACTAATACCATGAAATAATTATACCCATTTATTAACGAAGGTCGAAAAATAAATCAGTTTCAACCCACCCTTCATTTTCAAATGTTGAAAGAAGTCTTATTTTAATTTCTTTTTCACAACTTTTGCGGTCAGAAAAAATCTAACTGTAGCATTTAAAAATAATATGGAAAGTAAAATTTGATAAGGTATGGTGTTGTTTACTTTGTCAAAACATATGAGTCCACTTGTTTTGAAATGCCATCCAGTGGTGTCTAATATATAGTTACGCCAGGAGGTGTATTATTTCGAGCGTTTATATGTCTATAGGCAATTATAAACAATGATGCAACGATCGATTATCGGAAAACTTTTTCAATTACCCTGCTGGAGCCGTGGGTGATAAGGCTTTGCTACCAGTATCGAGCCAGACCAGCCTGCATACCAGTGCAGTTTGACCATGCTCTATATTGTTGGATGACTAACATCATATTTTTATTTGAATATGAAAACAGAAACTTATAAGAGACAATCTAAGAAAAAAAGAATGGAAAGTTGGCAAGTTCATTTTAGAAATTCAGCGGTAAGAATTTTATTGACTTTAAAGTTAAATTATAATGTAGGTATATAATTATTTTACCTTTTGTATAATATATTTGTTGCGGTTTGTTTCTGTCAAGTGACTATAAAATGTATATTTTAATTGCTTTAACGAGTCACTTTCTCCCGCCAGTCGTCAGTACTAACTTCTTGCGAGTATTTCGTAGGTGTTAATATAAAACATTACTATAAATAGAATTTATTTCTTTTCATATCATATACTTGTATAATTATATAGGTATATTATGTATATTGTGTTAAACACGTTTAAATACGATAATTAAGATTTTCCAGAGTGTTTAAGTGCAAATGTTAACTAATAAAGGTAAATGAAGTTTATGAAATTAAACATTTCACATAAAAAACGTATGAAAACAAAAATTAACAAGGAAGGGGAAGTTCAATGAATGCACCCTAAACAAAAACCCAGCAACACTCGATCGATAAGAGCTGAGCAGGACACCGAACAAAAATAGAAGAGAACAAGCAACATGTCATCAGCAGTAAGAAGCCCAGCAGGGTACCAAACAAAGACGCATTACAAAACAAATTTCGTTATTTCTGAATTTTCAAAAAAAAAATGCTTTCCCAACTTGTGTTCGTTAAAAACATAACATTGAGTACAGGAATTTAGACTAGGCGGGTTTCAAACTAAAAAAAGATCAGTCGTTTGCCTTGTACAGGAATTTAGACTAGGCGGGTTTCAAACCAAAAAACGATCAGTCGTTTGCCTTTCTTTCAATTTGACATTGATTTGAATCAATACTTTTAAGAATTATGTCAAGTAAAATAATAGCTGTTTTCACACAATTGATAAAATATATTCATCGGATCTTGACATAAATGCACATCGTGCATTTGATCTTTATACAAATTTACCGAATGGAGTGGCGGTGTGGCCGATTGGTTAACGCGTCAGACTAGTAATATAAGAATTGCTGGTCGCGTTAGTGGACAAGCTGTTGTTTCAATGAGCCAGAAACTTTACATTTATTGCTTAGTACTGGTTTGTTCCAGGGAACGGATTCGACAGCGTTTCGAGAAGCTGATAGCTTCCAACACAATCGAACTAAAATAAATTTATTTTATCATACCTTAAAAACAATTTTGTCATGACATTGATCAGGAACGGTTTTAATTGAAAGGAAATAAATATTTCATATATAAAATGAACAAAGCATTAACATTGCTTTTTTCAAATATCAAAATTCACATATACTTTTCTTAATAACTCAGACCTTTCGTAAATTGTGAATTACTTAACATTCGTTTTGAAAACTCAATAAGTTTATTCTGTCATCCTCTTTTTCATTTTAATAGTTAGACTAGTTTTTAAAAGTGGTTTCGTAAAAGTATAAAAGTATCTGTATCTTAAACTAAACCAAAATTAATACAATAATGCATGTGGTTTTGCTTAAGCTACAAAAAAACTCAAACAAAATGTAAGCTATTGTAATTTAAATGATAAATTCATGACACATGCGACACCTTTTAATTTTCCTTCATTTGCGTTTTAATCATTTTGTTCGTTGAAAACACTCCTTCTTAAATAATTAGCTATGTAATTTAACGCTATTTTCAAACGATTAGATATTCAATTTTAAACTACTTTAGTTGTATTCCCATTTATAAAAGTAATCAAATTATGTGCTAAGATTTGCGTGCACGTTTTTAATTAATTTCCTTCTAGATAAAATTACGCCCGGCAAACACTTTAGATAATAAAAGAACTATGCTATGATATTTGATCTTTTTAATGAATGATTAGTTTGACCTTCAAACGTTTGATAGAATAAATGATGAATAACAAAAAAAAAACTAACATGAAATTTATTGGTTTTAAAGCGGTAAGACTAAAAAGCTGTAGACAAACAAAATTCAGACTGATTTAGTTTGAGAAAAGTATGAACTTTTAATGATCAACATTATTTTTTGTCCAATCACATTGTAGTATTTTTCAAATTTCTGCTAAGTCTAACTTTGGTAAATGTGTACTAACTAAATAAAATTTACTTAATCTGTCGTCTAACCAGTCTAACAAATTTCAATAATGCATTATATTATGGAGGAGTTAGAGATATGGTTTACACTCTGATTTGTAAAATGTCAAGGTAAAAAAAATTAGTCGAGTTCAGGTGTTTGTAAATGTGAGGATACAATCAATTGATTTATTACATAGATAATACATGTTGGACACGCAGAGACAAATGATTACATAGTAACTTTTTTATATCCTTTTTACTTTAAGAAAAATGTCTGTTATAAATTGCTGACTGTTTTAAACTTTATATTTTCCAAAACATAATTTTTTTCACTTGATAGGAATGAACTGCATTAACAATCATTGATATTAAGAATACAATGATTACATTTTTTGGCTGGAAAATTGATTGTTAATGGACCCCTCCACTTTTTCATCTAAACAAGTATACTGCCCCAACACTGTACTGTAGTGAGATAAATCCCTTTCATAAAAGTTTGGCAACATATATCGCAGTTATGATTACAGGATTAAAACAAAACTCAATATCTACCTGTTTCTTTTAGACTGTTGTCCAAAAAAAACACACACACACACACGATATTTGACCAATGTGCATTTGGCAAAAATTTTACTCATAAGAACCGTTTTCAAATGTTCATAGAATAACCGTTGAAAAAAAAAAAAACAAAAGAAAAACAAAAACATTACAATTATCGTTACAATCTTTTATGATTTAAATGGTGCGAAAAAGTAACATTTGATTTTTTTTCAATTTCCCTTCTTACCAAATGTAATTAACAATGACTTATATCTTATGGCACTCATTTATATAACAAATTCATCTTTTTTCAGTTACATCAAAAATTTCGCTATATATTTTGACACATTTAAGATTAAAATTTGTTAAATATATTTATTTTCTATATTTACTTTCTGAAACTTGAAACAGATTTTTGTTGTTGATTTATTGTCATTATTACTATAATTATTATTTTTGATATTATTATTATTATTATTATTATTATATAATTATTATTATTACTATCATTATTATTATTATTGTTGTTGTTGTTGTTGTTTTATAATTTTTGCAAATTTGATTCGAATTTTTTGTTTTCATTTCAATATCCACTAAACCATAATTTGTTTGTGTCAATTCCGATAAGAACGCATCAAGACAAAAATTTAAAATGGCTAATACTTCTTTACTTTTTTAGCTGAGAAAAGTTTACCTTAAGACTCATAATGTCCCAAAAATGCTTTTATGTTTAACCTATGTTTAGTTCTCAAAGCTTTTTATATTTGGTGTCGTGTTATTGTTTCTAAAAAGTGACTTATTTGCAAGTAACATGAACCATCTTTTGCTTAATATGCTTAATACTTAATAACACATTCTAAAAACATTATAAAACTCTTGTTTGCCTTTTCTAAAGAAGGAAACATTTCTTCGTTTCTGAAGCATAATGTGCCTGTAAATATCAGTGAATACCATGGTTTTATAACCAAACTATATCATAAAAACACGTAGTAGCTCAATGCGCTAAACAGGCATATCTAATACTTTGCAAAATGAATACCACAGTTAAAAACATCATATAAAAATACCTTTATAAAAATAGCAATAAAAAAGTTCTTTTCACCTGCAAAATTAAATATATGAAAATAATTATCATATTCTCGCAACAGGAATAAGAAATTATAAGTATTTAATAACATTAAAACTTACTTACCCCAGAACATATAGAGCGGTCACGGCGCAAGCTTCTACCTTACTTCGCAGTAAATTATTCCCAAGGGTAAATAATAAAACATATATCATTTTATTATCATTCTCAGAAACAAGCATATTTTTTAATCGAATAAAATCTGTTTGATAAGATTATTTCAAACAATTTAAAATAAACGTCGGTATGATAAAGCTAATTAAAATTGAGTCTATACAAGTTTTTATGTGTATACTACAATATATTATTTTAACAGCTTTTGATATTATTTTCTAATATCTGAAAATATAAATCTTTTATAAGTTTTGTCTATATTATAGCACTGACGACAACAACTGCTTTAATACGTTCTGTATTCCGCTTAAATACGACTTTTTCACCGCGCACCTGGTATTTCATTATCTAAATCTCACTCATTCATAAAATACTCCTTATCGATGGGAAATTTATAAGCACGTGACATGGACTTCAAAAATTTTCCGATTTGGACCGTTTTTGGTCATGGCTTTGCGCCATGCCGCTTTAGCACAACACTCTGTCCTTAATAGATTAATTTTATAATTTTAAATTATGCTTCACACGAATGTCATTAATTTTAAAACATTGAATTCTTTATTCGAATGTGAATAACAAATAAGTTAACAATTGAGATAATAAGGGCATATAAATAAAAATATTTACTTTGTTAAGCTGGATAAAAGGAAATTTGGATACACCATCCAAAGAATCTGAAATGGTTAATGACTACGTTTATTGTTTATAAAATCCAGTCGAATTTAAAAATGACCTGGATAAGTTTTCAATTCCTAATAAATAATGGAGATATTATTTTAGGCGAGAATACGAATAATAAACAATATTTGATACAAACGATTCACGATAGGTTAAAACACACGGCTGTATTTGTATTTCTGTTCTATAAGTTTCTGGTTAAAATATATCCTCAATTTGTAATAAACAGTGTTTGATATAAACAATACACGATGTATTAAAATATATCCCCAATTTGTAATAAACAGTATTTGATATAAACAATACACGATATGTTAAAATATATACCAATTTGTAATAAATAATATTTGATTTTGACAATGCACCGTATGTTACAATATATCCCCAATTTGTAATAAACAGTATTCGTTATTAATAATACGATATGTTAAAATATATACCGATATAAAAGGTACATATGTATACACATAATTGAAGCTCACTGAAAGAAATAATAGGATTGAAAGCGCATCTGAAAGAAACAATAGGGTTATAAAGTAACGATCGTTAAAATTCCATATAAATTATATAGGTAGATGGTAATTTCTGTCTCACATTCACTAAAAGTACGTTTATTACAATGCCATTGAACCTTCAATATTGAATTATCCACTGAAAGAAAACATTGATACAACCCATTTGAATAAACTTGATAAAATGGTGTAAAAAAAATATAAATCACAGCTTTTTGCCGGTTCCCAAATCTCATTTAAAATAATATAAAAAATGCTACACAGCGCAAAATATCGAACAATTCCTTCTTACCCTCTTGGAAAAAACCAAAGACAAATTGGGGAACCACAAAAGGTAAAGGTTTGTGTGGTTGCCAAATGTAAAAAAGGGCAGATACATGACGGTCTAAACGTTCGTCTGCTTATATTGGTGGCAAATGTTCTTTTTCTTAACTTAGCTGATAACCAAACAAAACAAAATAAAGCAAAAATAAAAAAAATTTTTAAAAAATGGGTTTAAAAGTACACAATATTGGGAAGAAATAAAATCCCTTGATGGGAAACCTTTTTTAAAAAATTACAATTAAAATTTCCCAATTTTTTAAAAATTTTTTCTTTTGGGAAAAATACCATTTTATAAGTTAAAACAAAAAAATTTTAAAGAAAAATTTATTTTATCTCATTAATTTTAAAAAAAAACATTATGTTTCTTTTAAAAACCCCAGATTATATGTAATAGGGGGTACCTAAAAC